AAACAAAGGCTGGTTGGAAGCATTTGTGGAACGTCAATACGATTTCTGCCGCCTCTTAGGGACACGGGGATCTGTAAATATCTCCATCCTTTTTTTTTTTATCCAACTGACTGTGTTAACGGCATAGTTTCCTCAAGGCACGAGGTTGCAGCAAACTACACTTTCACATAACGCTATGTTTTTGCGACAGTGTAAATGGGTGGTCCTGGCTTCTGTTAACATTCCAAGCAGAATAATAAGGAGGGGAGCATTAGAAGGAGTGATCTCTGATGGTGCTATACTCTGTCCTGCTCAATTCTACTCTCTTTCCTTCTACTACATTGGCAAATAACATGCCACTGAAATCGCGACTCGAGTGACATGGCGAAAAGCTCACGAGGACAAAGTTTCCTCTGCTACCAATAGGTCGGCTTTACACCCAATTTCTTTCGAACCCCTTCCACTAACCAATTCTTTGTTCACTTAAGAGAACGTCAATTTGTGCTCTTAAATACATCCCGCGCCCACGGCTACAACAGCGTGTACAACCAGTTTTACACCTGGCGCCATGCCTGTTCTAGGAAACCACGGATTATTGGCCGACTAGTTAAGCAGTTAATTCGTATATCAATAAAGTTTCATAAGCTTTATCGTACATAGCCTACTACCAGCACAATTTTCTTCAAATAAAATTATCGAAAATGTTGGCAAGTGTCTCCCTTTCACTTATACACTCCAGAATTCAGTCTGCTGCTTCTCCCTACCGCCGATCGTTCACATTTCCACACTTTCTCAGGTCTCATCTATAGCAGTCAGTTGGGAGCCTAATCTGACCGACCGGTACTGTCGTGCGGGATTCGATGACGAAGACAATGAGTGACCGACGAGTTAATCAGTTAATTCGTATATCAATAACGCAAAAACTTAACTGCACGTCTAAATCGTGATTTCAAGAATGTTTGAATAGCTTTCGTGTTGCTCGCACCATACACAAAATTTGTCACTCCAATTTGAACTCCACCAACAACTCTCCCTAATTCTTAATTCCTCATTTTGTCTACTATCAATGCTGCATTCGGCAATCCCGTTGTCCAGCCCTACATCTTTCTTACACTTCAGTACATGTGGAGCTTGAGGTCTGTTTCTCTCCTCGTCTCACCAACGCTATCTGCATAATTGCTTTCACTGCTATCGAGGAAATCACAACTGGTACTGATTTAGAGATCCTATTCATTTTTCAGGCATTCCTTCTTCACGCTAG